ATGCGGCTAATTGACACCCTAACTACCCGCATAACTTTGGTCATTCACCTCCTTATCGTAAATGCCAGAAACAAAGCATTCGCAGCAGAGTATAGTTAATATGATGCTTTCGTTTAATCATTTTTGAACTAGCATTTTACACAGGTATAAGTATACAGCCCGGAATTGACGTATCAGCCTGAAGGAGATAACCACGTCTTCTTTGGATTGCTACCAGTTTACACGTGTTATTGACTATATTTTACGCAACTGCTGTACTGGGCAGCGTCTTTAACGCGCCCTATCCCAAGGATGATTGACTGACTATCTCTACCTGTAAATCATTGGAGGCGGATAGGACAAATAACACGACAACGATCTTCATGCGAGTGACATTTGTGGACCTTTAAATCAAGTCTTAATTTTTACACTAAAAGCTGTTTTTGTATGATCGCTACAAGCTATTAAAGCTCTAAAACACTTGGCCCCTATAAACGGGTAGATGTAATCAGGAGTGAATAATAATTATTAGATTATTATATCTATCATCATTATTCACTCTTGATGTAATGTTAACAATATTCGCGGGGTGGCGATAGTATCACCATTCTTAATTCATCTCCTCCTACCGACCAACAATTTAAAATGTTTAACGCAATACAATATTGAAAGTTGACGTGATGGAATGTTAAAACCATTGGGCACTGTCTTTAAAACTCTGCTGTCGTCGCCATCTGCAGTGTTCCACGTGATTCACGCGACGTACAGCGCTCTAAACTCGTCCGACTTGCGCATGTGCTGCCACATCTCCTGCCGCTGCACAAGGTTGACGGGATGAAAGACGAAATAGGTGGGCATGTAGCGGACTCGACTCAGGAACCGCCGCCGGTCCAAGCCCGTCGGCTGGATAACGAACGAGTCGTGATTAACACGCGCGACGTCGGCACGCTCTGCCAGCATGCCCGTCACGTAGATGTCCTCCATGCGAAACGGACGCACGCGCCGCGAGGTGGCGTACAGCAGCCCCGCGACGTCGGCGCTCATGCAGTACGCGCCGCCGACGACGTAAGGCGGGTAGACGTCGCCGGCGAACTCGCTCGCCGACACGTACCACTTATTGCGGCGGTCGCGGTACGGATGCGACGCCGTCTTTCGCGCACCGACGATCGCGCGCGTGCGATTTGCCGTTGTCTGCAGGTAGCGCGTTAGCGCGAGCAGGTTTACGAACACGTCGCTATCGATCTTCATCGCGAACGTCGCCTGCGGGCAGCGCCGACTGGCGACGTGCAGCGCCATCACCGACTTCGCCGTCAGATTGTCGTACGTGTCGAGAAAGTCGCCGAGCACGACATCGCCATGGAGACGCATCTCGTCGCGCACGCGCAGTCGCGTCGTCGCGTCGGCGCTGTCGGCGACGAGGAAGGCGACGACGACCTGCGTGCGGTTGCGTCGGGGCGAGCCCCACGTGTCACGCACCGACGCGCGACCAGTGGCGTCGCCGACAGCCGAGACGACGAGCACGAGCAGGAGTGTGTCGTTCGTACACGGAATGTCCGGAGCCGCGTACGTGTACTGCGTCTCGTTAAAGAAGAACGCCACGCGAGACGTCAGCGCGGCGTCGTCTGCGAGCTGCGCCGTCGTCGGCGGCGGCGGTGCGTCGGCTGCAAGCTGCGCCGTCGTCGGCGGCGGCGGTGCGTCGGCTGCAAGCTGCGCGCGCGTGCGCGCTCGACCGCGGCGCGCCATTGGTCACCCCGCGTCTGCGACGATGAACGCCAGCGTCACCCTCGTCGCTGGTGCGGCTCACCGATCCCCACGTCTGTCGCACGAGACGTCGGCCGGCGACGTCCGACGCCGAGGAGATGGCGAGCAGGAGCAGCAGCGTGCGACTCGTGCAGTTCAGCGGCGGCGCCCTGTACGTGTAGTTGCGGTCGTAGATGGTAAACTCGACGCCGCTGTCGCTCGCGGCGGCCGTCGTTGAGGCGCCAGGTGGCGCGGCGGAGCTTCGATCTTGCGAGGCGAGGAGCACGGAAGAGTTTTTCCAAAACGCCGTTATAAAAAGAAGACACGTCAGACAGAAAACTAGCCATGGTCGCCACCCTCGCAATCGTACATAGACGTGGCAGCGGCGCCCTGAAACACAGTTATGCATTGCATATATATATATCAGGAGTAGATAATAGGGAATTCCCTATTATCTACTCCTGATATATATAATATTTCCCATTATGTACTCTTGATATTTATATATATATATATAATATATACATACTTATATATAATATAAGTAAAAACAACGGACAGCCCTTGAAGAGATGAAGATAAATTTAAAAAATAGAAATAAGTGAAAATTTTAATTATCGTGAGCTTTCTGTTGTTGTCGCCTGACGAAGAGACATGTGTGTATACACACACACACACACACACACACACACACACACACCAGCAGCAGACGACACGGTCACGCACGCACCGCTACGCACGCAACCCGCACACTCATACACACCACCCACTACACACACACACAAACACACGAGGTCGCACGCAGTACGCACGCAGCACACGCTCTCTCTCTCTCTCTCTCTTCTCGTCTCTCTAATCTCTTCTCTTCTCTCGTTCCATCTCTCCTCTCTCTCTTTCTCTCGCTCCGTCGTCTACTCATCTCTCTCTCTACTCCTCATCTCTCCCTCCTCTGTCTGTCTGTCTGTCTGTCTGTCTGTCTGTCGTCTCGCTCTGTCTGTCTCTCTCTCTCTCGCTTACTTCGTCATCCTAATTCTGTCTCGTTCTTATGCTGTCTCGTTCTCATTCTGAGTTGAATATCCGAGTCTACAGTAAACTCTTGTATCGTTTCTCTCTGGAAATGGGTGACCGCATAAGATATAGCCCTGGCATAGATAGAAAACCTATACGCTAGATAGAGAGAGCAGAGAGAGAGAGAGAGAGAGAGAGAGAGAGAGAGAGAGAAGAGAGAGAGGGAGAGAGGGAGAGATGAAGAGAGAGAAGAGAGAGCAGAGAGAGAGAGAGAGGCGAGAGGAGAGAGAGAGAGAGAGAGAGAGCGAGAGGAGAGCAGAGAGAGAGAGAGAGAGAGAGAGAGGAAGAGAGGAGAGAGGAGAGAGAGAAGAGCGAGAGAGAGGAGATAGAGCGAGACGAGAGAGACGAGAGAGAGTAGAGAGAGAGAGAGAGAGAGAGAGAGAGAGAGAGAGAGAGAGAGAGAGAGAGAGAGCGCGACCATCTACGGTGAAATAAGAGACAAATGGACATTTACGGGCATTAGATTCACGGGGCGCGATGTGAACAGGACTATTTGACTTGCCCGTGAATGTTCGCTCAGCTATACACTCTAATGGCCAGCCGCGATATTAAAGTCTGTTGTTAGTCCGCCTGACGAAGAGAATCGTGTGTATATATTATAACTCGTGTCATAAAATTTTGACACCTATTTTTATTTTTAGCGCGCATCTCGATCTGACGGTATCAGATGCAGCTGTAGAATCGCGTGATTCGTCCTCCGTCCGTAGCTACAGGTGCGTGCGGTGCGTGCGATGCGTGCGTGCGTGCGTGCGGCGCGCGTGCGTCAAACCGTTGGGCACAAATCTTTTACCGCTCGACGTACGGTCGGCACGATAATTGCGGGACGTGGGGGGGGTGGGGGGGTATCCGACAACGAGTGGGATGTCTCGGGCGATGCGAAGGTGTAAAAGAAGGGGGAACTTCCCTCCTAACTAAGGTAATAGAGGACGGAAATGCCAGAATTGACGGCACCCAAATCTAAACGGCATGCGACCTAGGCTCGTGATAGTCGTGTATAGCATGCAATGGTAGGAAAAACCATCACTGTGCCGAAATTGGAGTGCACAGGTGCAAAGGTCACATGGGCACAGGGCAGATTTTATACATTTTCTGAGGACATGGTGCTGACAGGAGGTGATATATATAATAGAGTTTCAGCGGTGACCCTAGCATTTTATGCTTTATTGAAAGGCGCATGAAGTGCTTCCCTGACATGGCGAAGAGTAAGTGTCTGATAAGCCTTTTGAACCCTGAAGAGGAGTTAAACATGATTT